GTTTCTGGTCCGCTAGGATCGGCCATGCCGACTGCCGTGAAAGTTACTCCGGTACTGACAGCAAAGAGGGACCGGGATGTCCATTTATGGCTTATTAGCCGTTATCCTGGTGCCATAAAAATCTTCAGATCCGAATGACCTATTGACGGATGAATGCTATCGTCCGAATTGCCCGCCGTCAAACTGACTCTGTGTCTTCTCTGCATGGTCCCGGAGGTAAGATACTGACTGTGGTGACGGATAAATACTTAATTAGAGGACTACTGCACCCGTGTAAATGGTAGCCACTAGAGGCACTTGTGTTTGTAAGATTCCAATCACTTTAGTTCAGGTACTGAAAAAAGAGTTGTATATCAGGGGAGACCAGAATGGCCATTTCTGGCTTATAAGCCGTTATCATTCAGTCACAACTAATCCCAGTTGTGGATCATCCGGGATTCGAACCCGGGACCTTCGGCCATTGATTGTACCACTCTACTATCCACCGCCTGCTACTCACCTACAGTATTGTACTGTATCATGACGTCTTCTGCACTGGCATCACTAAATGTGATTACTAATACTAGTATCAATAGTATTAGAATATTATTCCTGTCAGCAGTAACCTAGTATTAGCTCCCAGGCAATATAAATCTTGATATTCGCTATTTGTCACCACTTGGAGTACTACTGTTGCTCTTGTCATTAGTGCCACTAATACGATTAACCGCACTCATAACCACAACAGTCGCACCTTCAGCCTAGTTTTTAGCATCAACACAAGCTCCTCCATCAAAAGCTTTTAGCACTCCCTGAAGATCCTCCACTGAAAGGTAAGCTATGCTCTCGTTCTCTTTCCTGTCTTCTCTTTCGTTTTTTGTTCTCTCTCTCCACCTTCTTCTTTTCTTCTTCCCTTGCACAACCGGCTCTAAAATGCTCACTTTCGAATTGTTTTCGTTTTGAGCACTGTGCCCATCCTACCTCAGGCGACCGATCAGCTAGGCGGTGGCCAGCTGCTGGCGGTGGGGGAAGAGAGTGATGTCGACCCCCAACGCATCTCTCCCTATTAAAACAATCTGACACGCTTAAAGTTATCACGGTGCGCTAAAATCCGTAGCTTGGAGGGTTGCCAACTAACGGGATAACTTGGACGCCGAAGTCAGCCCAGAGTGTCTTGTTGAGTGGAGTAAGTTACTGCAGGCTGAGAGGCAGGCTCAATGGCTCCTTCTTAATGTGGCCTTTATGGCGGTCCCAGTTGGAAGCCTACATAGCAAGGCTTTGTTGTTTTGGCGCGTGCTGGGGTGTTTTTCGCGCACACCGCTTGCGCCCTCCCCCATCCCGGTTATCTCGATTTTTGTCTTGACATCGGGTTCAGATCTGGCAGTGATCAGAGAGCGGGGTGGATCCGGCGAGTCTACTTTCACTATAATTCAGCTATAGTCACCGTGTCCGCCTTCGGCTTCCTGAAGCTCGTGGTGGACATCGCTGAGAGCGACGGTGGAACTGTCGTTGCGCACAGAGATGGAGAGGCAGGAAGATAGCCTAGACTGAAAGCCCTCTTTTTATCAACCGGATATGGATGGTATGCGTACGTAAGTCGTCTAGTGAAAAGTATACCATTCTGGAACTTCAGCGGCCAGCGATGTACGTATCAATGTAAAAAAAGCAAACTCCACACAATTTCACTCAGAAAAAAAACCACACGAAAACATACAATAAAACTAATTGACCAATGACATACTTGAGTCAGTGCGGCGTACTGTAGTGGGTTCAACAACTGCAGCAAGAGATAGGACAGCAACAATAGCAACGGGAAAAGGCACAAATGAGGTGAAGCTTTCCGATGGGGATACACAAAAAAAACACTATACCAAGCTATCTTACCGATGTTGCTGGCATCATTAATGGACGCAGTCTCACTACTGGAAGGCATACTCAGTTGATGATCCAAGGTTTCTGTTGATTGGCTGAAAATGACCTTTAGAGGGGTAAAAGAGGGAAGATGATGGAGTAGGGGACGTGAAGATTTAAGGGGGAATTAAAAGCAGATCTAACTCGAAGATGGTAAAAAACAGAAAGGACAGCAAAATAAAAAGGGCCAGCGAAGGAAGCTCAGTGGGGATGACACGCTCAGTCGACAGAGACGTCACCCCGTAGCTAGCACCTGCAACTCACGAGCTCAGAGCGATTTGGAAATTGGAAGGGTGAGATGTGCGTTGAATTGCAGTGGTGAAAGGATGGAGGACAGGGGGGG